CCAAAAACTGTCCTCGCTTGGTCGTTTCTTTGATATGCATGCATGAAGTAGGCCGCGCCATAGCTCAAGCGGTTAGTTGCTGGCTTCCCACCGCGGCGGCCAGGGTTCAATCCCGGGTCTGGTCAAGTGGGATTTATGGTGGACAAAGTGGCGCTGGGGCGAGTTTTCTCCGAGTACTTCGGCTTCCCCTGCCAATCTTCATTCCACAAAATTCTCCATCATCATAATTACCCGGGGCAGGTACAATAGGCCAATCAATGGCCGCCGTGCCGAGGGGACCCAGTTGGACTCCACCGCACACTAAGCGAATTAAAACACTTACATGCATGAAGTTACTGTAAAACTCCTGTTGTTTTTTTTTTGCAGTCACTCTGTACTTTTTCTTTGAAAGGCATAGATGAGACCAATAAAAATCTTCGGGACATTCACAGGAAACAGAATATCCTTAGGGACTAAAATTACGTGAATGATGACGGATCTGCGTACCTGGATGAAGGCAGTGAAGCTGCGGGCAGATCAATCATACATTTTCCACAGTTCGTCAGATATGGAGAGCAGAGCTCGGCTCCAGTCTCTGTCTCCCCCCCCCCACCAAAGAGAATGAAAGGATGTGCACAAAACTCTCAAGTCATTTTCTCCTTTCTCAGACAGAAATTCTCGAAATCTTCGTCGCCAGTCTCTAGGTTTCGTCACGCATTTCGAGCAGTCAGCGGATTCTGCTACCATCACAAAAAGAATTTTTATTGTTAAATGCCAAATTTATTTATGACGTCACGTCATCAACTATCGTCCATGACTAGTTGATAGATACAGAGGTTGTTTAAGAATTCTAATCTTTTTCGGAACCGGAATATTAATTTCCGCCCTCACAAAATTGGACTGTATACTGTGCAGAGACTCTTTCTTTATGTATATTTATGTACTGTTGTTCCATCTCCTAGAAACATCAGTCAGCATAATCGGTGTCCTGGTCGACACTCGAACCGAGGATCTATCGAGTAAAGGCCAAGAGTCTTGCCTCTATACCAACTTCTTCGTATCAATATTTCATACATAATATTTGTATATGTTTCTGACATATCTTTACACCGTTTCAAATTCCGTACTTGAAGGGATCATTAGTTAACATCATAAAATGGAAAGATACAGATTTTTTTTATCCATTCGTGAAAATTCTCTTGGCAAGAGAAGCGGGCAGATTCACCGCTCGACTAGTCTCAAAACTGCACTTTCACGCATGCGACGCAGTGTAAAGGAGAGAAGAGGAATCCTGTTGCCATTAATGGCGGATCATGGGATCGTTTTTCAGAATGATCTGATCTGCGGACCAGAATTCGCTACTGTCATTCTAGTATAAAGTATTGTGACCCATATGTCCATTGCTAGGCAACGGCTCTGTATGCACTTTACCGAGATTACGTTTCAGCAGTGGGAGGACATCCGATGCTGAGTAAAGGGTCGCTAGACACGTTCCCACAGCAACGAATAGGCACATAGTAAAGCGGAACTGTTGGAGGTGGTGACTTATATTCGGTTCTCCCCGAACGACCGTTCAAGTGACTAGACTGCCGTTGTGGCGGAAGCTACTAGAAATAGGGCATAGTCTGCCGTACTGAGCCTGGACTGACAGAGGCCCTCTATACATTTTATATACATTTATTAACATGTTTAACATGTAAAATGTAAGTATCCTTTACATTATGACAAATGACTTACTACTGCACACGACTCTTGACATATATTTTAGTTCTTAACTACTGATCATGTTTGCTTAACGCAGTGTCCGTGGAGGGACTCTAGTGGACTGTAGTCCTTATAAATCCATTGAATATTCCAGATGTGGTCTCCTGAGTGGTCGATGAGTGCTGAAGTTACGGATGAGAATGCTGCCTCTATTTTCAGAATAAAATAATATGTGGTATGAGTTTTTATTTTCACTTCAGCGTTTATTTTTGAAATTCTTTCTTTTCGTACGTAAGAAATTCTAGTAACATATCCACCTCTTCCTCCGCCCCACTTTCCGTACATTTTTCGGTTGTCAAATTGACTTACGAATGATGCATAAATAAATTTATTTCTCTCTCTCTTGCTAGGGGCACGCGGTAGCATAGTTGGTTGAGGCAGTATCCTCAGTAGCCGGAAGGTCGCGGGTTCGAATCCTGACGAGGTGGATTTTTTCAATTGACATAATCCTTCCAGCCGCACTATTGCCCTTGGGGTCGACTCAGCTTCTAACAGAACTGAGTATCAGGAATCTTCCTGAGGGTAAAGGGTGGCCGGCACGTAAGGTTGACAACCTCACCGACATCTCTGAGCCGATTTTCTAGATAATGTTGGAACCTCAACGTCTCACAACCCTGTAGGCCTCCATGGTCTCTTACAGGGATATCTTTACGTACTGGTTATATAGCCCTTCTAGACCTCAACGGATTTTTTCAGTTTCTTTATACTCTACACAGTCGATAGGACACCTTGGACGGGGGATCAGCCCGTCGCAAGGCCCTTACCTAACACAAACATAGAATAAACGCACACAGACATTCGTGTCTCGCGTGGTATTCGAACCCTCGACTCCATGTTCGAGCGGGAGAAGACGGTTCACGACTTAGAGCGCGTAGCCACTCTGATTGGTCAATAAATTTATTTATGAATACAAAATTTGGGATAAACTGTTTTCCATCTACTACGATGTACTTGAAATTAATCTGAAACTGTCTTCTCGTCTGCTGTCCAAAAACAAACAAAAAAAATTAGAACATATAAAACTATAATTTTTCCCGTGGTTCTGTATGGGCGTGAAACTTGGTCTCTGACATTAAGGGAGGAACACAGACTGAGGGTGTTTGAGAACAGGGTGTTGAGGAGAATATTTGGACCGAAGAGAGATGAAGTGACATGAGATTGGAGGAAACTGTATTATGAGGAGCTTCATAACTTTTACGCTTCTCCAAGTATAATTAAAACGATGAAGTCAAGGTGTATGAAGGGGACAGGACATGTAACATTAATGTGGGAGACGAGGAATGCGTATAGGATATTGGTGGGAAAGCCAGAAGGAAAGAGACCACTGGGAAGACCAAGACGTGGGTGGGTGAACAATATTAAAATGGATCTCAGAGAGATAGGATGGGATGGTATGGATTAGAATGATCTGGTTTAGGATAGGGACCAGTGGAGGGCTCCATAAAATGCTGGGAAATTCTTCAGTAGTACAATTGGCGGCTTCTCAAGAAGGGCTCAGCTCCATGAGTGAGTGAGTGACTCACACAGTGAGATGATTATGAATCCGCTGTTCCTACTGTGATCTGCATTATAACACCGTTTAATTTCGTAGGGAAGTGACAGCGTTTCGATGGAACATACTACATCAATCCTCTGGGTAGAAAGAACTCATTATTTTGTATAAAATTGTAATGAAGCTTTTAAATGTGCAGCTTAGAGAACAGTCATCTTATTTTAAATCCGTTCTGTAAATGTGTCTAGACATTTTCATTTTATATCCACGCCTATTCCTATCTTATTCAGTTCTCCAACAACACATAACTGAAGTATCCGGGAGTGGAGGACCTTAAGGTTCGAAAATCCTGTGGTGAGTGAAGGAGCAGAGGAAAGAGGGGGGAGATGGAAGATCCAGGTTTATACGAGGCAAGCAGAAACAGTAGTCGCATATAAAAGAGACATTTTTCATGGCAGATTTTCATTATCTGCTTACCGAGGGACTCAACCGCCTCCCGTCTTTCCCAGGGTGACATGTCCTCTAGCCCCCCAGCTTTCACAACCCTCTGCTTGCTGTACAGATATTCCCTGCTATCTTGTGAAAGGGGAGGGATTTTTACTGGTTTCTTACACTTTTCTCTTTTATCAATTCGACCCTTTTCTTTCTATTTCTCTCCTCTTTTATTTTCAAACTACTTATTCTTGAACTCGGAAGAAAAAAAAATTTAATTAAATCCTCCATGTCATATCCACCAACAAAGCAATTTCCGGGTACTAATATAAAGAGAGCAAAGAATAAAAGTGATTCTTTTCTTTTTTTCATTTTCTTTCATTTCCATTATGTCTATAAAATAAAAAGAACAAGAAATAAGCATGTGGTATGAACCGCGGTTAATGAGTTACAAATACACAGAACTACATCACGAAATTTCAGACGAGCTCCTGTCTCTTTCCAGTACCCAAACTTCTCCATTCAGCTCCACCGATATCTTATCCAAGTTTCGNCCATTTTGATCATTTTACAGACGGCAGGAATCCCTTGGACGAGTGACCAGCTCGTCAAAGGCTCCGCTAGGCACGGGAAGGAGAAACACCGCTTTCCTTACTGTTGCGCAACCTCGCTTCCACTGTTGCGCAACCCGGCGGATAACGTGCCAGGAGATCCAGTTCATCACATTCATCCCTCACTTTGTCTTGCTCATTCACTCTCATTTTGTATGCACACACATATGCAGACATAAAGGGAAATCTTAGAATGAGCTCTGATATTGAAACACAACTATAAATGAGATAAAATAGAAGGAACAGAATTTAATTAAAAAAATTAATGGTACATAACTGTGGAAAAACTACAAATTGAAACTATATCACAACTGAGTATAACATCATTCTTGAAGCGTGCAAGGAAAAAATTTTTAAATATTCCATTATATCAGCGTTCTTGTAATAACCTAGTAATTCCTTCCTTGATAATCTTCAAGGTGGCCAAGTCAGTCTGGATTGTGTCAGTCAAGCGGACCATACCCTTCTGTTTCATAACCAGAAACTGTTTAATATATTCCTGTACAGACGGATCCATTGAGTAGCGCTCAAATTCTCCGTGTGCCGCCTCTTGTCTCTGCATTCGCATCTGTGACAGCAATTCACTTACTTGACCCTTGAACAGTGGAGCATGAAGCTGATTCTGAAGTGCATCGAACTGACTCCTGAGGGCTTCCTCCTCAGGTTGCAGTGGGAGACCTGCTTTGGAAGGACCTGGAGAACTCTGTGTTCTAAATCCAAGAATTTGCGACGATATTCTGCGATCTTGGCAACAGCTGTGTGACAACGCTCTAGCTCTCTAATATCCTCAGCTACACAGTCCAAGAATATCTGATGTAATTTAGTTTCTTGCTCTTGACACTTCATTCTCCAAACGCACTTCACCAAATGCAGTCACTGGAACTGAATTGTACTTTTCAGGGTTTGGGTTGTCCAACTGAGCCTGCTTCCACAGTCGAGGGTCAATGCCAGCTGGAGGATTTTCTAGGTATTCCTTGATCTGGTCTTTGTCTGGTGCTACTTGTGCGAACACGCTATCTGCACCAAGGCTCAAAAGCTGGTGCTTTTGCATCAGGAGGCAGGCTGATAAGTCTGTAGCAAGTATGCGTCTCATCGAACCTGTAACACTTTTTTCTTGGACTTATATAAACACCAGGGTCTTAATTCCAGAAATAGGTTTTATGCCTTCAACGACGAGAGTTATGTTTGGCTTGTTACCAGTACCATATTCAGACCGCTTATCAGCTGTGCTTGTTGGCTCCGGATCTCTATCTCTTTCCTGTAGAAAGTGATTGCCACTAGTCCCTGAGCATTGTCTGAAGACGGCATGCAGCTGTATCCAATAGCTTTAAATCTGCACAATGGGTTCTGCTGTGTCAGCTGAACTGGAAGAGCCATCTGTGAGTAGTAAGCTTTGCCTGTCGCCCAGAGAGCTTGCAGTAAATTCCACCTTGCCAGTGTAGTGTCTCTCTCATCCTCATATACACTACAATTCAACGCAGCATTATGCAAAGCCTCGAGAGGACTTGGCGGAACCTGCTGCTGTGGCTGGGTTAAATATTGTCCAAATGCTGAGCCTCCAGTTCCGGTACCAAATGCTCCAAAAGATCTTATCATTGGGGTTGACTGCTGTTTAACTCCAAATCCCTAGTTTGTGGTGGTTGTTTGAAGTTGGCCAAAGAAGGGCCTTGCAGTTGAAGTCAACTGGAATGAGCTCTGAGTTGTGGTGGCAGTAGCACGAGAGTTCCCAAATCCTCCAAACCCTCCAAATGGGTTGGCACTAGCTATCGTGGTGCTGGTTGTTACTGGGATAGAACCAAATCCACTTCCAAATCCACCAAAACCTGTTGTTCCACTAGGAGGAGTGCATGAGTTGATACCTCCAAAACCAAAACCTGAACTTGTAGTGGACGTTGCGCCACTACCTTGACTGAAACTAGGAGCTGTTGATGCACCACCACCAAAAGAGAAACCAGTATTGCCAAATCCAGCTTCTCGGTTATCGCAAACTATCACTGATTATTACATATAAACTCTTCTAATCACGCGTTTCGTTCTTCTTCTTCCACGGCTGCTACACTTCAACTGAACTTATAACGTCTTCTTCACGTTCACATTTCATTCACTACAACTGAACCGGCGACTGCTAGACTTCCACTGAACTCCTTAAGTCAAAGTCACATTGCTACTGACGGCCAGTCAGTCAGTAAGTCTTGGTGTCGAGCACCCTCCTGGGCTCATGACCAGATATTTATTACTGTCTGACAGTTACGGTATTGTTTTTTTGTGGGCGCCCTCTCTGACGAGAGGACGGGTCGGTCTTTTGTATATGCTGCTGGCCCTTGCCAGCGCAGTCCTCGGGTCCGAGTTCCTTGGTACTCGAGACCATATATTACTGTCTCAGATTTGAGACTGGCCGCCTGTCACTTCTCACGCCCTCGAACCCACCCCCTTGTCTGAAATTTTTCTTCTGCGCATTCAAGGTTACTCTTGGCCTTGTTCGAAGTTACGTGACACTTTCTATAACAACAGAGTTCTCTCTTCTGCGATTTAACGCCGCGTAGTCCAGTGAAAGTCAAGTGACGTGTTGCGTCCATCTTCAAGGTTAAAGAGTAGTACAGTCAATAAACCAGCATATAGCAGGCAGCAAGCGGAGGGAGAATACTAACCGGTTGACCTTTGTAATGGAGATGTAATGTTTTCCTGTGACCTAGGAATTAAATTTTTAGAAATTATTTTCACGAAGTTCATGCTCCAGTGGGGTAACGCAGAGAACCCGTGTACCTAAGTGCATTGACTGCAGGAAAACAGCAAATATACGTATGACGTCACAGATGGTTCTATTTTAAAACCGAGCTACAAAATCCGCGGTGCGTGAATCGTAAATATGGAGATAACGGCCGACCTGTTTACTGTGGCAATTTTCTTTCAGTTCGACTGATACAGAAATGTTGCTACGCATCATGTGATCATTCGTCTACTCTGATTGGCTTTATCACGTGATCTACAGAACCGCAAAATTACTGCCTCGTATTCATTCGTGTTATTTTCAAGAGACTACTCGTGAATTCTTGATGCAATAAAGAAGGGCAGATTAAAATGTTGAACCGAAAACATAAAATAAGTTGGGAATAAAACTAGGCTAAAACAATAATGATGATGATGATGATAATGGTGGTGGTGGTGGTGATAATAATAAATTACAATAAATTTATAACACAAATAAAAGTATAAAAATATATTAATAAGCCTAAATATGGGTAAAGTGAAGTAAAGCTATCCCTGTGGCAGGCCGTGAAGGCCCATAGGCCTGTGAGACGTTGAGGCTGCCACATTATCTAGACAATCGGCTCAAAGATAGCGGTAAGGTTGTCAGTCTTACGTGCCGACCGCGCTTTACTCCCCAGGAAAATTATTAAGATTAAAGTTTTCGCTGTGTTTAAACAATTAAATACTATGACACGAACAGATATGGGGAAGTGGAGGTATACCTCCACAATTCTTGACCTCGGCACCAGATGGTTAGCTTCATGTCCCGGCCGCTTTACCCGGAGGGAATAAGCCCCATTATCCGTCACATGGAACACTGGTTGTGCCTCAGAACCGGTCATGACGTTTTGGAATAAAGAAAAATTATTCCCCCCTAAAGGGAAGCAATCCCCGACCGTCCAGCCCAAAGCCTGTAGTCCGTCGCTATGCCGATTAAATTATCCTGGCGGGGTAAAACTAAAATATTTCCTGCCCTTGCTACGATACGTGGAGATGAAAGGCAATAGGGCGGATAAGAAAGGAATATGGGAGAAAGGTGTGATGGAGATAAAGATACGAAAGGATTACAGGAATGGAACAATGGAGGTGAGGAAATTGTTTTAGTGTGAAGAAGAGGGAGGAAGGAATGGGATTGAATTGATGATAGGACAAGCAAAGATTAGGGTCGCGAAAATAATATGGGAGCAAACAGGAATTGGATAAAAATAAGAAAAGAGGAAAAAATGTAGAAAGAAATGATTTCCCTTCGTCCTTTAAAGGTCATTCTCCAGTTGAGTTCAATTGAAAACATTTCTTTATTTTATGTAACATAAGAGAGCTGGCTCATAAGATTATTTACAATAATAGTAACAGTAGTTTATTGATTACGTCCTCAACACAACAGAATGGGGTCAATTACCGAGTCAGGACGAGTACAGAACCACAAGTACACAAACAAATATGCGGACAAAACATTCAAACAATAACAGAGCAAAATTAATTAATATTATCTAAACGTAAACGTTAATTGCCGGTCACGGTAGCCGAGCGGTCCCAGGCATGTACTGTCTTCGCTCGCTTGGAAACCGGGATCGTGGGTTCGAATGTGTTTCCTGTGAGGTACGAAATGAATTCTTATATATTATTCTTATACACTGCCGGTCACGGTAGCCGAGCGGTCTAAGGCATGCACTGTCTTCGCTCGCTCGGAAGCCGGGATCGTGTGTTCGAATCCCACTAAGAGCATGGATGTTTAGTTTGTGTGTGTGCGTTTTTCTGTGTTTGTGTACAGGTAGAGGCCTTGCGACGAGCTGATCACTCGCCCAATGAGTCCTACCGAATGTCTATGATCTAGAAAAGAACCGAAGTGAATGGAGAAGTTCATGGAGGTACGCCTAGGCCCACTGGGGCTGTAGTGCCAAGGAAAAAAAAATAGTAATCGCAATGATTAAATTAATATTCTACAATGCTTAATGATAATATAAGTGTCTTAATAATGACGCGTCCAGAATCACAGAAAGTTTATAACAGAAGAAGCACCGGCAGATCACACAGCGTGATGCGGGAGTTCAGACAAGCCACTGGACATCAGCTGAAGACTACTAAAGGGCACAACAACGTAGCTAAGACAGTGGGCCAGCAGCTAACAAAACAAATACAACTTTGTAACTTAGATGCCCCTGCTAGAAACAACCAGTTTGCATTATGCAGTGGCCAAGATATGCTGACAGATATACGAAGAAAATAAGCCAACCGCCTATACTCCTTAATGAGAAGCAAAGGCGAGAAGTTGGCATTACTGATGTAACAGTGTCACCTAATCATAACATGGAAACCATATCTTAGAACCACACTAATGAAAGTACAGAAGTGGCCAAAGAATTCAGTAAGTGTGGCAACTGAAACAAGTTTGCAGACGGCCTCGAACATATTGAGCCCATCCCTTCGGCTCACTGGTTGTAGTGCCCTCTCCGAGCGGCGGCGGCCGCGGGTCACACCGTTTTTCCTTACTTTTCCTACTACCTATCCTTATTCCGTGGCGTATTCTACGTCATCACTCCTCTATCCTTCGTGATTCAGCTGAGGCACCCGGTCTCTTCTGCCTGGAAGTTCGTCGTGTACGGACGTCTCGCTCCGTAACTAAATTCTGTTTGGGTCGGCGCCATGAAAGATTCGGTTTGGTAGTTAAACTCCAGGAAGGAGGGCCCATCTCGAGGTAACGCACATAACACTAGCATACTGATTATTGTTCTTGGAGTAATTGTGTAAGTTGAGAATGTGTATATAGGTTTTGTCTGTATTGTGTGTGCAGGGGATTACAGAGATGGTATTTTGCTAGCGTGAAGTTTATTATAAAGTATGCCTTATATGTGGTGTTGTGGCGGAGACAGCCTGTGCGAGTTGTGATAGGATATCTTGTGGCTGATTATGCCGATTAATTGTCGTGTTTTCTTTTGGCACAAATTACTGGTCATATATTAAATGTTATTTGATTTTTCTTGTTTACTTCTTTTTTTTTAATAGATAAGAGAACACCCGTTCCCCAGCTGGTGGGGTGGGGGCTCAATATAATCCCTCAAAAAGCATTCAACTCTGAAGTATTTGCCATCATCATCACAGAAATAAGCGATTCTGTATACAAGACACATAGAAAAGTGTTTAAAATTGCCTTAAAATAAATGTAACACTTACTTAAAAGAGTTGTCAAACAGAACAACACAAACACAAAATAAACGCAGACAGACATCCATGCCTTGAGTGGGATTCGGACCCACGATCCCAGCGTTCGAACGAGCGAAGACAGTTCATGTCCTAGACAACACGGCCACTGTGATCGGCGCCTTAACTTTTACCTCGGCAAAAACGAAAGGAAAGATTGAACAGCAACAAAAGCTGTGAAGAATATGGTTCTCTGAGTTGTAACGCAGCGTGACTCGTCGCCTGCTTCCGGCAGTTTCTTGTTTGGATCACGTGGGGGAAACTTGTTCATCTGCAACTTCGGGGTCTCTCCGGACTACACGGCATTACAACCCAGAAGACCGCACTCTACTCTTCGTAGGCACTGCCTCGAGAAACTCAGGCCCGAAGTCTGCGGCGGTAAAGTAAAGTAGGGCTATCCCTGTAACAGGCCATGAAGGCCCATAGGGCTGGGAGACGTCGAGGCTCCCACATTATCTAGACAATCGGCTCACAGATGGCGGTAAGGTTGTCAGCCTTATCCGCCGGCCGCGCTTTATCCCCAGGAAGATTCCTGGTACTCATTTCTGTTAGAGGCTGAGTCGACCCCAAGGCCATAGTGCGTCTGGAAGGATTAGGTCAACTGGAAAAAATTCAGTGACCTCATCGGGATTTGAACCCGCGATCTTCCG